ACAATCCTAAAATTTTAGGTTCCTAGCTTTCCTGACTGTTGCCTTAAAACGGGCCACAAAGTTCACTCGCCTCCTAACACACACAAGCAACCTCCTTGCAATAGGCATTTTTGCGTGTGCAAAAATAATTGGCTAACGCACGGGCTGTCCGTGCGAAGATGCTTTTTTTTGCATAGTTCTCCGCAGTTTTTGCCGCTGTCGGCACCGGTTTTATCAGCAAATGCTTCTTGCTAAACAAATTAAGACTGGCCGCCAGAACTGTCAGGAAACACCTCTTTAAAATCTTAGCTTTCTAGCTTTCCTAGCTCCCGAGTTAGCAACTTATCCGAAAAGAACTTTGGCGGGCCCGTACATGGGTACCAAGCATACTCAGTGTCTGCGTCTGAGATCACTGAGACTTACGCAGACAGGAAACATCCCCTTAAAATTACAGTCCTCTAACTTTTCAGTTCCCCGAGTTAGCAACTTATTCGAAAAAAGTTTTGGTGGGCCGTATGTGGGTACCACGCATATCCGGAGTCTGGGTTTGAGCTCAATGAGACTTAGGTGGACAGGGAATATCCTCTCAAAATTACAGCCTTCTAGCTTTCCAGATTCTCGAGTTAGCAACTTACCTGAAAAAAATTTTGACGAGCCCGTGCGTGGGCACCACGCATACCCGAGGGCTGGGTTTAAGCCCACTGAGACTTAGTTGAGCGGGGAACATCTCCTTAAAATTTCGGCTTTCTAGCTTTTCTGGTTCGCGAGTCAGCGACTTACCCGCAAAAATCTTTCACAGGTCCGTACGTGGGTACCACGCGGATAAGACCACCCATTTTGTGGATGGGGCCCGTACATGCATGTAGATTAAGTCCCCCAAGTTTAAGCCCTGTAGCTTTTGTAGATCTGAAGATGAAAAATCGGTACAGAGGCCCAACGCATACACCGACACACACACACAGACAACCTCTTATCAATATGCCTCTTCTGTATTGTATAGCTGCAAAAAACGCATAATAAGAAGCACCTGACTGCAGTTGTCAGCTGCGTACTCTAGTGCCTTGCGTATCCTCATGTACACAGAAAGTGATCCAAAAAGTGGATCAGCAACGGGAAATACAGATGCGGCACCACCGAAAGACCATCGCAACTGCCAACTGCAGGCTGCTATACGTGACGGCAGGCTGTCCGGATCCTCCAGCAAACCATGAAGGAAAAGAAGTTAGCCAGCCGAAAAAGGCTCACTTTAAATTGATCGTTCCATATGGCATTCCTGTTGCTGATTTGAAAGCTGGCAATAGTTTCTGAGCAAACCGTTCCGCTAATCTCAAGAAAGGCCCAGAGCACGGCCAACCGGACTCCAAGCGCATCCCTCAAAACACAGTGCATCTTTACCGTAGCAGCAGCAGCAACAGCAACCCACGGAGTGAATGCATTTGCATAATACTCCGAAAAAAACTAACCACGAACACGCCCAGAAAGCATATGCGCACTGAGTAAGCCTCCAATAACCCGTATATTGGTTTCGAATACAGACACGTTCACGTTTAAGTCCACCTGAAAACCGCGATCATAAAGACCGGATACAATTACGAACTAGTAAGGCATCGATGAGGATTTTAACAGAGTGCGCCGCGACTGGCTGAGTGAGAAATGCCCATTATGCAAGGATCAGCCGGTCCTGAGAAATACGGTGAAAACTGTAGACAAGTCGGAAACCTTGATGATATCAAGGACGATATCAGCCGCACGCATAAACTCCGTTTCATTCCCCATAATGAGCAGCGTATCCAGCGAATCGATCAATGTTAAACTAAAACTACCCCACGTATCCATGCCTGTAACAAGAGGAATAAATAGCGTCGCGCCAGAACAACCGGTGCGATTATGCGTTCTGTGCGATTCCGCCCACCGAAAGATTGCCTGCTAATGATTTTCACTGCTTTGCACTTTGGTCTATGCAAAAAAGGTGAAATGTCGCCTGGTTCCTAAGTTGCGGAATTTCCCAATAAAAATCCCACGCACTGCTACGTGAAAGCTGGATTTGAAACCTCGAAGAATGAATATCCTTACATAATTTCGATCTCCTAATATTTTAGCTGTCGAGTGATATTTGCGACAAAACTTTCACGTGTTTGTACGTGGGGCTGGGCACACCT